CCACGCCCGTTCTCTGCCCATCCCCGACACACAGCGCTCCTCTACCCTAACCCCAATCCACACCCTTCCACTATCCCAAGCCACACTCCTTCACGACCCCAATCCCCTCCTGCACCCCACAGAGCTCAACCCACACCTCTCCTCTGCTCTAATCCCAACCTGCACCCCTCCTCTATCCCACCTCCAACACACACCACTCTTCCACCCCACAGAGCCCAGCCTCTACCCCAGCCCCAACACACATTGCTCTGCTACCCTAACCCCAACACACATCCCTCCTCTACCCCAATCACAACGTACATCACTCCACTGAGCCTGACCCACACCTGTCCTCTACCCCAAGTCTGTCCTGTACCTCTCCTCTGCACACCCGTGACCCACACCTCCACCTCTGTCCCACTGATTCTGACTCACAGATCTGCCTCAGCCCCACTGTTTCTGATCCCAAACCCCCACCTCAGCTCCACTAGCCCTGACTCTGAGTCCTTCACCTCAGTCCCACCAACCTTGATGTCCTGGTCCCAATTTTTCCCCAGAACCAGAAGGGTCCCTTGTCCCCATAGCTCACCTCCCAGTAGATGTCATCCTCAAAGCAGGTCTCGTCCRCGGGATCACCCCAGATAGGCAGCTTCAGGATGCCTCCTGGAAGTACCGGAGCAGGCTATGTGGCAGGGGACACCAGACCCTGGGCATGTAGGGCAGGGCTCCCTCCCCATTGTAAGGAAGTGACCCTGAGTCAGTGTTCAGGACTTCTTGCTTCATGCAACTACTGACATTGAGTATGTGGACACTAAACAGACCTGCTGCTTGCTCTTAATCCTGTGCTATCATAGAATAAGCCACCCTGATTGGGAAGGGAAAAAGGAGGCAAGGCAGGATWTCTGCCTTTCTCCAGATGCCCACAAAGCGGCAGCAGTAACATATCAGACAGGAGAAGATGGACAGAGTCCATTTATCCAGGCAGCAAAGAGAACAAACCCAGTGCTATCATGTTCTTTATTATTGTATTAATGCAAAAACCTATYTCCTTTCTCTAAACCCATGTGACTTTCCTGGTGTTCAGGAGTACCCATTTGTTGCCCATTTCCCTGTATCCCTGTGGGCTTTGGGACAGTCCTATCTGCATAACGTCATAAGCAGGGTGAGCAAGCTTGCGGTTGCTGTTTCTCCTGGGAGGGGGATGCAACAAAAGTAGGAAGGATCCATCTGGCCAAGGGAATGAGGACATGGATGCCCAGTTCAGCCACAGGCTGGACTTAACCTTCCCCTTTCCATTCTTCCCTCCTGCTTACCCACAAGAGCCCCTCCAGCGAAAGCCATAGCCAAAGATACAACGATCCCAGCTGCCTGGAAACCTCCTTGGACACTGGGTGTCCGGGTCTTGTAGCTGCCAGTGAAGTCAAAGGCCTTGATGAACCTGCAGAGGACAGAAAGGATGGGGATTGTTTCCAGCAGGAGACCTTCCCCAGATGGAGGAAAGCTATGCTGAGCCAGGCTGGAGAGCTGTGTGCCCTGCCCCCTCACAGCTTGCTCTTCTGCAGAGAACTAGAAGAATGTCGCAATGGCACTTGAAACACTGCTGGCTTTCTCCTCTTCTGCCCCCCAGCAAAACTTTAACTAGGAGAAACTGCCCAAAATATAAACATTTGTTTTGAATTTCAGACCTTCAGACTTTACCCTTAAAACAATGCAGAGATAGAAAGAGAAACCTTCTCCCATCCACTGTGCCAAGGGCTGGGTTTATGGCGTATCTTTTGAGGACAACAGAGGACTGTCAGCTACTAGAGCCTTTCACAATTCACCAAGCCCAAAGCAGATAGTGCAGTAGGTGTTCTCAAGGGGAGAAAGTGCCAACTCTGGACACAAAGCAAAGGCTATTAATTGAGGCTGTCTTCAGCCTAAGGACTCCCAGGTGAAATGAATTGTCATGGAAGAATTTCAGGCTGTCTTACCCTTCCTTTCCATACACATCCTCCGTGGCTGCAGCTGCAGTGATGGCTCCCACAATGCCTCCAATAAGGCCTGGCATGCCGTGGAGGTTGTGGATGCCACATGTGTCCTGGATGTGCAACCTGGACTCCAAAACAGGCTGAGGGAAAGGGAAGTAGAGAGAGATGAGGAACATGACCACAATCCTGGAAGGGGTTCCTTCCGTGGAGAATGTAGCACTATATCTGGACTGGATATAGTAGGAAGTGGGAGCTAGAAGGGAGGAGAGGCATGCCAAAGGGCAGTTGGTACAAACTAATACACAGTAAGTTTCATCTGCATTTAAGAAGGAACTTCTTTACTGTTAGAGTGACAGAGCACTGGAACAGGCTGCCCAAAGAGGTTGTGAAGTCTTCTTCTCTGGAGATGTTCAAAACCTGCCTGGATGCAACTCTTCAATGTGCTCTACATGTCCCTGCTTGAGCAGGGAGTTGGACGAGATGACCTCTAGAGGTCCCTTCCAACCTCCACTGTTCTGTGATTCTGTGATTCTGTGATTCTGTGATTCTGTGATTCTGTGATTGGGATTGGCAGGGAAGGAGGAGTGATATTAAGGGTCCTATTCAAGAGGCTTTCAGACAGTGACTGAGCCAAGCTTAAGGTGAAATGAAAATATATCCTCCAAACATTCTCCCATTGAGGCCTTCCTGGGAATTTTGAGACAGTAAATGGAGTCAAATGCATCTTTGTAGGGGACAGTGGAAAGCAGGAACCCTCAGTGAATCYGTCTCTGGTCTCCTTAGCAGCACTAGGGCTCCAAATAGCCACACAGCACTCACCGTGAGGTAGACATACCCCACTGTGGACACAATGCCACAGATGAACCCGACAATGAGGGAGCCATATGGAGTCAGCATCATCTCCGCACTGGTGCCCACAGCCACGCCACCGGCCAGTGTTGCATTCTGGATGTGAACCTGTGGAAGTAATCGTCTTGTCTTATCATCTCAAAGAGATCCCAGTTGCTCAGGGATGGTGTGGATGGTATCGCAGGAGAATCAGCTCTGAAAATGTTTCCACAGGAAATATCAGGGCCTGTTTTCCTACTTGCTGGAGAAAAACAAGAAGAGAAGAACAGGCAGCCTCTGTTGAAGCACAGCAGCAAATAGACTCCCACTCCTCATACCACGCATGCTCCTTTGSATCCACAAATCTGGGTGGAGAGTTGTGATGAGATGGAAATTGTCTCACCCATGTGTCACGCAGGCTCTGCTGTCACACAGTTGTGCACCCACACACAACAYGTACAAGTCAGCCCCCTGATTGCCTGCAAGCTGCCACACAGGCCCTTCTTGGCTGGCTGGAGAATGCTGTCAGACACAGCTCTGCAAAATGCCCATCAGAAGCTATCTCTTGGCATAGCATATTCATGTGTTTGTCCTGCTGCGTTAGATCCACCAGGTGCAGGACATCACCCAGTTCTTTGCCTTGCATGCCTTGTGCACAACAAGTCTCACTGCTTGCCTGCTTATTCCAAATAACCTCTGGTTTTCCAGCCGGGGGCTGGTTGCACCATCATGCCCTGAAATGCAGCATCTTTCCAGCAAATGAGAAGTGGTCATCCCATTCTGGCCCCATGATCAACCTATTGACAARTCATCCGGGGAGCACAAGCCTCTTTTTTCCCCCAGCTTACCATGTCAAGCTTGCCTTTCTTCTGCAGCATGCTGGAGAAGGCCATTGTGGTGAGGACACAAGCAGCCAGGGAGCAGTATGTGTTTATTGCGGCCCGGTGCTGGGCATCCCCGTGCTCAGAAATTGCAGAATTAAAACTGGGCCAGTACATCCACAAATACAGAGTACCTGATGGGATAGGGAGGGGGAGACGATGAAGAGAAAGTGAAAAGAAAGAATAAAGGGAAGATGATTCTTTGCACAGAGAAGTTAAAATCTGAGGGCTCATTGGTCCTGCTCTAGCAGTGTTGTTTCTCCCTCAGCATTAGGAGATGCTGGCAGAGGAGAGAAACCAAAACCCTAACTTGTTTTCCCAGGCACCATCTCAACCCAGGCCTCAACAGAGGGCACYGGGTAGCTCTGAAGTGTCCAAAAAGGGGGATACAGTGTTCCTCAGCACCAGGCCCTGGTTTTAGTCTGTCTTTCCAGAGACATAGGGGGGAGCAGCTCACTCTGACTGAGCAGTACACATATCCCAACTCTACTGAGGTTGGGGTTTACTCACCAATCATAGCAAAGAGGTCAGAGTGGTACACAGAGCCTTGCTTGTCCTTACTCTGCTCCAGGTTRGGTCTGTACAGGATGCGTGTCACAGTCAGGCCAAAGTAGGCTCCAAAGGTATGAATGGTCATGGAGCCACCTGCATCTTTAACCTACAGACATGAAAAAACAGAAGTTCTCCCCTGGAATCACCATTTCTTCTGGAAAAGAGATCTAGTTTGCTTCATGCCCAGCTTGTTCTCCCAATTTCCAGCCCCAGCTCGCACTTGGCCATGTGGAGGGAGAGACAAAAACGCTCCACTCCTACTATTTATCCTGCTCTTTTGGACCTGTCTATGGCCATGCCATTCCCCCTGGCTCCCCCAATGGAGGCCATCAAGGCAGAAGAGATTTTCTGACCTGTCCCAATGAAAAGTGGGTTGCAGTGATATCATAAAACAAACTGGGATTAACCTTCCATCGCAAGATGAAATAGGCACAGGATTGAGCATTAAATACAGAATAGTTTATCCCTTTCACCTCAAGATTCTTTTACAAATATTGAAAAGATGCACGTGTTACAAGCAGAAACAGACAGGAGCAAGATCTCCTAATGCACACTTCCTGCTGGTTTGTGATGGACTGCAAGAGTCCTTGCTCTCCCTGAGTGCCCTGGCAATGGGGAACGAGCTCAGTCTGGTGGCACCAGGCCATCTTGGTAAAGCACCCCAATAACATCTCTCTGGATATTTGTCCTCCTCTCCTCCTCTTATTGCCTCAAACATTTGTGGTTGTGTTGCATCGCTTCTCTGCTTTTCCATTTGTCTGCTATTCCTGCAGATGCTGCAGGTCTCCCTACTTAGCTGCATTTGCTCAGAGCTGGTGTCAGAGCCTCACCTACAGAGATGGGGTAAGAAGCAGCCATACAAGAGAGCAAGGGCTGAACTTCTGTGCATGGCCGCTGCCTGGACTCATTTACATGATTTAATGAGGCTGGAGGGAATCACAGTGGGTATTTCAAAGGCTCACCGTCAAGATAATCATCATGCTGTCAGACAAGAATTCCTCTTTCCACGTCACTGATGATAAGCATCAGCAAAAGATCTGTGCTTCATGTTTCCAACTACCAGGCTAGTGGCTCTCCAAGTCCTTTTCCTCAATATGAGAGTTGCTTCAGGCTCTCAGCTTCACCTCCTACCCCTCTCTGGTTCTACAAGTGTGTCTTCTTCCCTCACATCATGAAAACGAATTTCTCACTGGCAATTAGAAACAAATAAAGCTCTACTTCTCCCAAGGCTTTGCCATTCTTTCACTTATGCCAGTTGGCTTGCACGTGTGTTCAGGTTTTCTGGAAGCCTCTTTGCTTTCTAGTCCCTCAAAACCTCTCTCAGGAACCCTGTCTCTGTCAGCAGATGTCTCATCCACTYTGTCATTTGATTTCCTTCTACAAAGCCCACATTCCAGCAGTAGAAAGAAAGAAAGAAAGAAAGGAAGGAAAGAAGGAAATCTCTGACAGGCATAAAGAGAGTGACTGGCCCGTTGTGTCAGGGCTCCTCAGCTGCCTTGGGAGCTTCAGTAGAGGGACCCAGTGCCCTTGACTCATTAGGCTGGTAGCTTGTATATAAAACCCTGGGAAATCTCCTTTCTCAGAGAAAGGATGTGACAGACCACAAGGGATTGGTCCTACCATCCCTCTCCTTTCGAATGCTTTTACGTTTTCTGTCTGAATTATTGCATTTCAAATACTTATGAAAGCAATGGCTTGGTGGTGACATTTTGTGATTCTGTGATTTTGAATACATGTAGAAGGGGAGGAACAGAACCAAGCTGTTTGTGCCTAAAGGGAAGCCTTACGTGAAGCAGGTTGAGAAGGATGTACTCATTCACCGCAAAGAGCGTGACTTGAAACAACGTCATTACAAGGAGCTGTATGGGGCTAGTTTTGCCCAGGATGGCCCCAAAGGCAACACACACAGAGCCCACACAGAAATCAGCATTGATCAGGCTGAAAGAGAGAAAGAAAAATTATGGTTTAATAAGGAAATATTATGCCATAACTCATCCTCTCCCACTCCCAGGAAGACAACAGTTTCAAGAGTATTTTTTGCACATAGCACAGGGACGGGTGGTCCCAACTGCTTGGTTCCCATCTGAGTTCTTCTATTATCCAGCCCAGAGCTGATACCCCAGAGCCCACGTCTCTCCTTACTTCTCCACTCCAATGAGGATCTTTCCGGTCTTGAAAGAGTGGAACCATCCTTGCATCAGGAGAGCCCACTGGATCCCGAAAGCGGCAAGGAGGAAATTGAAACCCACAGCTCCAAATCCATAACGCTTGAGGAACATCATGAGGAAGCCGAAGCCCACAAAGATCATCACATGGACATCCTGGAAAGCTGTGCCGAGGGAAAGAATCATCAGTTCTTCAGGGAAAGGCAGGGCTGCAAATGCCATTTGAATTCAGTAGTGCAGAGAAACTAATAAGCTCAGCAACAACGGGGAAGAAATTCAAGAGAAAAATGTGTGTTTGTCACATGACTCCATCTCTCCTCTCCATTTGTAAGTCTGAAGACTGTTTAGCTTTTGGAAAATGGTTTTTGGTTAAGAAGTTCAGTCTTAAAAGCCAAAAATATTTACTAAAATCACTTTGCAAGAGAAGACTGAAAAGTCTAAATGAATGTGCAAAGGAAAATATTTTTCTCTTCCTTTTCTTTCCCTTTTTTCCAAAAACTGAGAAAATGTCAAGTGAAGTTATTGGTAACAAAATTTTATTAAAAGCCCATGAATGGTCATTTTGAGTAGGCCCATCATACCAAAGGTCCTGGCCCTGTTGATAGCTTGGGACAGATATTCAGGGCAGGGGATAGTAACAGTGGAAACTTGCTTAAAAAAACAAGCAGTAAACCATAATTTTTCAGTCCATCAACTTCTGCAGGCCAATCGACAGCATAGTGCCTGTAACCATTACTTCTTCCAGCTGTCAGAGCTGACCTTGCTGAGAGAAATGGTAACTGTTGGATTTCATAGGGACAGCTCCATAGCTGCTTCTGGCTTGTTCTCTTTTGTTGATCTAATGAGTCTCCCTTTGACCTAGGAACTAGCACGTGGTAAGACGAGCTCTGAGCAGGGCAGAGAGGCCTGCTCTCCCTCTCCTGTTGTAGTAGAGTCCCTGGTTCCACGAAAGTCAGTGGCAAAATATACTTTACCCAGGATCTCACTTGCCAAGAGTTTCACTGCTTAATTGCTTCCTTCAGCCTGGAGCAAGAGTCATCCTCACCAGAGATATCCAGTTCTTCCATGRGTGCTCATACCTGCTAACTCTTGTCCCTCACATGCCCTTCCCCGGGGGAAACTGTATCTGTGGGACTATGAACCTCCTGAGAGAAATTCTTGGTGCAGTAAACCTGGTTTACTTTTTAATATTGCACTGTTTCTTTCAGATAAGCATCACTTCGCAATTAGGTGAGCTGAAAACCTGCATAATTACAAATTAAATCATGCATAGCCTCACACTGAAGGCTGCTCGTGAAAAGAGTCTTAGCTTCTGTCCATTGGTACTTTCCAAGATCTTGCAGCTTGTGCAAGGACAAGCATTTGGACAGGCTCCAGCAGTGTAGTGCAATGTTGCAGAGAGAGATTAATTTTCGTGTTTCTAAAAATGCTCCCCACACCCATGAAATTCCTTGCAAAAGAGCAAGAAGGCAGGACCTGCAGCTGATACTGTTCAGCAGAGGTCACTTCAAGGGCACTTCTCTGCATGTCCTAAGAACCAGTCTTTGTAACTGATTTTAGCATAGGCACACGCACTTTCGCTTTGAAGTATTAGTTGTTATTGCTGTATTTATTCTCACCACCTCTCTTCTGAAGAATAAGTGGCAAAATACAGGTCTAGAATGGTCTGTTTCCACTTGCATTTAGGTTCCTGCTAAATCTTCCTGAAAGAAGAAATTTGTAGGGCAAAATAAAATTTGCAGACTGTGCATCCTCCAAAAAACATAGAGGAACCTCCTTGTGTTTTAGACCTTGCACAAACATGGAAGGAAGATCTGTTTTTTTTTTCCCTCAAAATGCCCATAGTCTAAAGCCTTGCATTTGTTCTCCCTTGAGAAGAATATGGTTTTGTGACTTACAAGTAGTCCAGGTGCTCCTAAGCCTTAAAGTTTTTGTGAACTTGCTTTGGGAAGGCAACTGCCATTGCTGTCAGAAGGAAGTGTTAGGGATTTCGGAATACTATCTGTACTGAAGAATCTTACTGCTCTCCCTAAAGAGCAGATGATTCATCCATTATAAAATATCAACACATGAGTCAAAACTAGAAGCAATTGTAGTGCTGATTAGAGTTGACCTGGCAGTGTTGGAGATTGGCCTCACTAACACAACTGCACAAAGACTTCCTCCTGCCAGGATTTCCTCATCATCTCTGGGGTTGGAGGACTCTTCAGTTTTTTCATGTCTTTCCCACTACAATATCTCTGCCATTGGAGATAGGTCCTATGGGCAGTAGTAGTCACAGAAACATTAAGGCAAATCATCTGTGTGTGCTTGACCATCTCAGTGTCTTCTAAAAAGAGATGGACACAAAGATCAAAATGCCAGGGCGCTCTCATGTTGCTTTGTTTGCCCATCTTTGAGGAAAGACTGAGGGGGAGGAAAAGTATTTCTGATCAGATAATGAGGAAAAAAACCTGCTCTGCACATGAGCCCGTCCTGAATAGGTCTGAAATAGAATCAGAACTTGAAGTTAAACCGAGAGCAGTTGATCTGAACTTGATTTATTAATCTTTTAAGCCGYTGGAGGGAGATATGTAGTGCTGTGGAGCAGAGCTGGGGTATGAGGACAGAAGAGATGTAACATCTCTAGCTCCTACAAGCTCCTTGGCCTAAACCTTGTCCCCTCTGATGTCCTCTCAGCATGACCATGACAGCARCACCACTTTTGTACTGCTAGGGCTTCACACAGACCTGTGTGGGGTTAGTCCAAGGGGCCAGATCTTGACAAAGAGTCAAGTCTTGGCTTTAGACTAACCAGAATGCCAGCTGAACAACTGTTTTTTGTAAGCAAATCCTTCTCTGAAATAGCTAATCCTTGGCAGGTACAGATTTCTATAGTTCCTTTGATTTAGAAAGTGGTTTTTTTTTTAATAGAAATGTTCTAACTATATCCATGACTCAAATCTATTGCTTCCTTGGAAACAATTGCCTACAGAAGCAGAGTGTTTCCCCCGGTAGACAAAGAAGATGACCAGCACTGGAGATCAAATCCAGCCAAACACATCACCTCATCAAAACRTCTTTAAGCACATGGAAAAAAAAAACCACTACTGCAATATTACGCAGTGACCAAAGAGCCTTGGGAACCTGGCAGATCAAGAGATCTCCAGCATCAAACTATCAAAATGGCAGGAACTACRAGGTAATTAACTAGTGAGGGGGAGGATGTAGGAAGAAGAGGAAGATGTCATGGGATCTAGACAGCCATTCCTTTGTATGCCCAGAAAAGCTTGCTCTGATCCAGAGCCAAGGGAAGAGGCAGCAAGCGGAAATTTGAAAGGTACTGAGAACATGCCAGTCCTATTCCTGGAAGGGAGACGTCATTTACTGGTGTCACAGTACTCCAGTGACAGTGCCCCAGGACCACTGGGAAGCCACGAGGATTTTCTCTTTTTCTCTGGTAAGTCTCAGACCAAGGCAAGAGCCTGATTCTCCAGGAGCAGGCAGAGGCATCACCTCTGACATGCTGCGCCCTGAGCCAGATATATCTGGGGAATACAAAAACGCTTGATAAGGGCTTGCCCTTCTAAAAGGGTCCTTCAGCTTCTCCCACATCCACAGCCAGATAACAGAGAGATGGCTGCAAGGAGGACCTTGCAGCTGGGGTTGGGATGCTGGGAGCAGCAATACATGCAGTGTTGAGGGAAGGGGCCAGCCAGCGCTCTGACGAGGGTACCCAAATACTCACAGGGGTATCGGAAGTAGAAATCATTCTCTATGTCACTGGTCACGTTCATCTCTTTCTTCTCTTCCTCCCAGTGGGCGTCAGCCTCSGGACCGAAGCGCACGAAGACCCCGAAGAGGACGATCATGGCCACCTCCCAGAGGAGGCAGACGAGCGGGAGCCGCCAGCGCATGTACGTGTTCTTCGCCATTCCCTGGTGCCTCGGCCTCTCCATGCACAGGGGTCCCCGGGGAGCCGGCGGAACGGGGCAGCCCACATCCCCTGCACCCACGGAACGCAGCAGACATATATAAAGAGCGCAAGGTGGGGCCAGGGAGGTGCCTCTGGCCGGATCACGTTTCAGAGTGCGGGAGGTTTGACAGACTCCCTCTCGCCCTCCTTCCTCCCCGGGAGGAGGGACGGGTCTCCAGCACCTTTCCCCTAGGCTGCTCCAAACGCGTCTGAGCTCCGCGGCGCAGGGTCGCTGCAGGAGGCGTGAGGTGCCAGCAGGGAGTGGAGTCCGGGCATCCTGCCCTGCCCCGCACACCTTCCTTTCCCCTTCCTGCATCAGGAGCGGACCCAGGCATCCCRGCCCTCAGCACCTGCTGCCCTGGGCACGCTCCTTTCCTACACGACACAGCGAGGCCGGTGACCTGCTCCCCTCACCGAGGACACCAAAGCCGAGGACAATGGCAGGTGCCCCTCATCCAGGTGTCACTGTCCCCTCACAGGTCCCTCCCGTCTCCTAGGGCAGAACGGCAGCCCAGGGAGGCCTTTCTCCTTGTGGGAGGGAAGGCTGCTAAGACCTTTCTCCTCCTTGCTTTCTGTCATGCCTCTGGACAATCAATCACACCTTGTAAGCCAGGGTGAAGGTGAATGGGGCTGGGCCAAGCGGGGCAACTCCCAGAGCCTCTTGGGCAACTCCAAACTATTACRGGGCTCGTTTCCTCCAATGAGCCTCTGCCAGGCTCTGGATGCAGAGTTGGGGAGATGCAGCCCTGGCAGAGCTGGGGGGCTGCCCACAGGCTGCCCATTCCCCATCTCCTGACCTGTGGACAGCTCTGTCCGACTAAGGGCAAATTGGCTGAGCAGGGGGTCCAAATTCCCCTCAAATGACCAAGGAAAAACAAATTGTGGGGCCTCCCCATATCCTTGTCAAGGCAGTCTGAATCACTGGGTTGGGCTTGGGTATTGCAGTATATGTGGGAAAGAAGTTTGCAGGAGAAGCTTCCAGGAGGAAGAGGAAGACAGATGATTTAAAACAATGCCAGCACTATGTAGACATGCAGTGGCCCCGCCAAGGCTGCCATATATTTACAGGGATACAGAACTGACATTTCCCAGAATGTTTTACTCAGCGCATCATCCTAGCAAGACAAGCTGAGCTGGGACATGCACAAGTTTTATGAGCCAGCAGAGGAGCTCTGAGGTGGTGCAAAAGGTGGGTTTGGAGACCTCCGTGCCCTGAAGCCTCCAGATGGGTTGGCTCCTCCAACCACCCTTGGAGAAAGCATCGTTGCCCATCGGAGCTTGGCCACATTCCCTCCTCACCGCTCATGTCCTCCTTCTCCGGCATGTTCACTGCATCTGCACTGCACCAGTGCTGCATTGAAAAGGGGAAACCTAAGGAAGATGAATGCAAGAAGGTGATTTTCACATTCCATGTAGAAGTGCACAAGGCATTTCTGATATGGGACTTCCCATAGTGTTATATTAATAAGCATAAGCACATACTCCATTTTTTTTTCATTGTTTTGATGGTGCTTCAAGTCTCTGCAAAGCCATGTGCTCCCTTCCCAAAGACTGAGGCAAATCATTCGAGCATATCAGAGTTCCTTCCTCTGGCTGAAGGTCCCCGAAGTGCCTGTTAGCAGATGAAAGACTGCAGCTCAGGCAAGCTGCCCAAATTTGCTGATGGCATCTAACTGTGGCCTGCAGGCTCAGCAAATGGTATTGATTTCCATATTAATAGGGCAATAATTTGAGTTTATCATTTCTTGTTTGCTTTCTTCTCAAAATGACAGATGGCAGAAAAAAAATGCAGTGGATAGTCTTGGAGAGACTGGTGGCAACACAAAATTGTTATCAAGTCTCATTTCAGAGGTCTAGGCTCCACGCAGGCAGCTGGGCAGAGRTATCTTTGGAAAGAGCTGTGGAAATGCAGCTGAGAAGCAAAGAGCACCTTGGTACGGCTGAGGAATCAGCTAGCAAACTAAGAGGCACCACAGAGGGTTAACTGGGAGTAAGACAGCAAAGCAGCCCTTGATGCTGTCCAGCAGCTGAGCTATCTATGGGAAATTCATTACAGACCAAGGCAGCATCTGAAAGGAACCTTCTTTGCAGAGGATGAGGGAAAATACATCATAGATTGAGAAGGACCGAGCAACATCTGGGAACAGGATTTGCTGGACCAGCATCAGCCCCAGTAACTCAGTCTGGGGTGCCGGGCTGGTTCCTTTAGGCATRCTGTAGGAGAGCACTGACACAGGCTCCTTCCTCCTGCCCCAGGSAATGGCTGGGAAGTTGGTGCCAGAATCCAGTACTTGTCCAGCACTTGTGCTTGTCACCAGGACAGTGCTAGGGACGTGGGTGCAGGCAGGGGCTTCAAACCCCGGTGTGCAACCTGTCTCACGCTGTGTCTGCACACTCTGTTCCTGCCTGTCTGCAAAGACTCACTGTGCACTGGCTGTCTTTGAAGGCCTCCATACCCTGTGGATCTGCAGCATCATCCCTCGCACCCCGAGGGACCTGCTGCTTCCTGCAGCAACAGGCCTCCATGYGCCCAACCTCTTTGGACCTGCACAAGCAGAGCCCCGGTCTGCCCCAGCAGAGTCACTCCGCAAGGATGCACTGCCCTTGCACATCCCGGAGGCACCTGCCTCACCTCAAACACRAGCAAATTAATTGTCCTAAGGATCAGCAGTGCCTCCAGGCTGCCCTGTGCAGAGCACTCCGTGCTGCAGGTTTGGGTCTCTCATTACACGTGTATTCCGCAGGGYGTGCTCAGCTATACAGACTAGGAGGCTAGAAAGAAGCTGAAACCCCTGAGCAGTAGCTAAGCCCTAAACACAAAACGCTCTGTTGACAGTTGTATGTTCTTCTGCCAGCTRTGTGGGAGGACCAGTCTTTAGCCCTGCCCTAGTGCAACTCTTGGAAGCTTGAAAGAGGAGGAAACACAGAGGCACAAAGGAGCATTTTATAGCACAAGGGAACTTGCTAACGCCTGGCAGCGTAACCACCAGCAATAGCTCTGGGTGGCCGCCCTTCGGTGGGTGAAACCGAACTGCAGTGCTTCCCAGTCAGGGCTCTCACTGAGCTCGCAGTGTACCCCGAAAAACAGCTCCGTCCTCCCCGTGCTGCACAGCCGGGGAGCCAGGGAGCTCCGGGCACTGCCGTGCAGCTCTGTGCGTTGACCATCCCACCTAGCGCCCACCTAGCGTAGCCCCTGCCTCTGAGCACCCTGCTCTTAGGGAGGCGGAGGTTATAGCTTTTCCACTGGCCTGATAGTCTCACCTTGTTGCACCGCCTCGCGTTGCTCCTGCTATCAACCTGCAGATCAGCACTTGGCTGCTGCAGCCTGCCCGGAGCTGCATGCTCCGCTGGCTGCCCTGCACGCACGGCCTGACTCCTCACCCACTCCCACTGCCCGCAGCGTGGGAGGCTGTTAAAGCCTCGTCACAAGGTTCCCTTGCAGGGCCTGGGCCACACGAGAAAGGCTGAGGGAAACGGCACTGTTAGGTGCCACAGAAGGGCTCTGGGTGAGAGTTGCACCGTACTGGCCCTAGCCAGGTCTCTCCCAGTTCCTCACTTTTACGACCGCTAAAGATATTTTGGAGATGCAATAGCAAAACCCAAAGTGCTCAGAAATCCCTCCCTCTTGCCTGGAGGCTTCATCCTGGAAAGGAGGGGATGGGGGCTCCTTGGTTCACTGCGAACTGTCTCAGCAGATCTAATCACCATGAATGCTGGGGYAAAGGGACGAAGGGGCCCCAAGAGGTGACCCCAGACGGACCACGCTTGTTGTGGAGGGAACGTGGCAGAACATGTGCTGGTCTGTCCTACAGGTATGCTGAGAGATCGCGGGCTTGGGGGCCTTGCAAGCTCAAAGGAGATACCAGGCATCCGAGCAGGGACAMAGGGATGTTATCTTTGGCTTGTGGTGCCTGGGAATACTTTTCTGCTTACAGACTTGGCAAGGGGCCATGTGGAGCAGTCAGCAGAGGAGGGAAACTGGGACCTGGAGGTGTGTTTGGGAGGGCAGGCGTGGAAATGCAGTCACSAGGGAGGAATCCTGCTGCAGCACTGCAGGTCCTGGCCCCGACAGGCTCTAGCTGCTTAACSTCACCTTCACCTGATTTATCTGTTGGCCACTCCAAGGATTCCCTGGAACGAGGAGAATTGGGTGAAACCAGACAAGATTGGGCCTTTGCCAAGGGGAAACCAAAAGAACAAACGGGGAGGGACGTAGGATTAGATTAGCCCACACGCAGCGGCGCAGCACCCTGGATTTCCACCAAAGCTGCTTGGCTCACTGGGAGCAGAACGGGAGCAGGACAGATATTCTTCTATTAAGGTAGGGCTGAAGGAGATTTGCCTCATTTCCCAAGGAATTTGCCTCACTTGCAGACAATCACAATGTGTGACCGACTGTTTTGTCCGAGGAGGCATCAGCCACGCTACAGCCGGGTCAGAGCCCGGTTCCTGATGTCCAAGAGACAGGGACAGAGCACACAGCAGCGCTGCAAGGAGACGACGGGGGGACCCAGGAGGCTTCACGCTGCATAAGGAATCAAAGGTGACTTGTTTCTCCCACTGGTCCTTGAGGAGTGTCCTCGAAGCAAAGTATCTGAGTCAACTCAAAACAAAGTTTTTTGGCTGGGTTAGCAGAACAGAAAACAAACTTTCCACTGGAGCTGAACAAAGTGTCGGTACAATGAGAGATCAAGTGCTTCAATTAGATTTGGGGGCTTTGAGACATTTTCCGAATTGAGGGCTTCCCACTAAATATCACTTAGAGATAAACATAGGAAAAAGGTCAAAACAAAGCAAGACTTTTATAAGTTCAAAAATATGTTTAGGGGGTCAAAATGCCAACCAAATGTGAGCGCAATTTACATTTTTTTTTCTGTGCCTTTCCCCTCCTCCCATGAAGCTGCTTTTGCCAGCAAGTAAATGATTGCCGAAAGAGCACCTCGCCACTGCTGTTTGAAAGAGGAAATGTCAGTGTCCTTGAGGAGCAGTTCGGAGGGGAGGAGAGCTGCAGCGTGYG